TGAGGGTTTTCATAAACCATGTGTCCTCACACAACTGAACATGGAAGGAAGAGTGAGCTGAATGCTGTATGAAGCCTCTTTCATAAGAGTGGTGTGGTTTAGATATACAGTGTCCCCCACGGTGTCTGAGCACCCCATCTCCACCTGGTGATGCTGCTTTGACACATTGTAGAACCTTTGGGAGTTGGAGCCTAGTTGGAGGAAGTGGATCTGAGGGACAGGGAGCTTGTAAGGTGTAGCTTGCCGGTTTCCTCTCCCATCTCTGCTTCCTGGTCTGTCAGAGTGTGAGCTAGCAGTCTCATGTTCCTGCCACCACAACTACAAGCCACTTCCACTGCCGTGTCTGTGCCACTGTGATGGAATGTACCCTGTACCAAAAATCTTTCCTGTTGCTTCCTGTCAGTTCCCTTTTGGCCTCATCACTATCTCTAAAAAGCCTCAGTTCTTAATTCATTTAGCCATTAGGTTGGGGTTTTTTTGGGGGGTGGGTGTCTTTTTGACACAGAGTCTCCCTGTAGCCCCAGCTGGCCTGGAACTCACTATGTAGAGCAGACTGACCTTGAACTCATAGAGATCCACCTGCCTCTGCCTCCCGAGTGTTGGGACTACAGGTGTGCACCACCACGCCCGGCTGCCATTAGGTTTTGACAGGTGAAAACTGAAGTCTAACACTTAAGAAAACTGAGTAAAGGAGGGCGAACAAGAACTCTGTCCATTGCACAACCCTTTGTAAGGCCATTTCAGGATGAGAAAGGAAGGCTACCTTTAGGGAGGGGAAATATGCTCTCAGCATATATTAAGAAAAGGTTTTCTTAATAAAAAGTAGATAGTGGTTTTGGGGGGAAAAAAGTGTTTAGCTGGGCGTGGTGGCGCACGCCTTTAATCCCAGCACTCAGGAGGCAGAGACAGGCAGATCTCTAAGTTCAAGGCCAGCCTGGTCTACATAGTGAGTTCCAGGACAGCTGGGGCTACAAGGAGACCTTGTCTCAGAAAGACAAAAAAAAAAAAAATTGTGAAATCAATGTCTTCAAAGATCAACAACAGAATCTAAGCTGGATATCTTGGGTGATGAAATCAGGAGAGGCTAGAGAAAGGAAATAGATTGTTGATGGGATTACAAACTGGTGACATGCTAAAACAAGTTTAGTGCCATTGTTTATTAGAGAAATTAGGAGAACAGGAAGAGAGTCTGATCTGAAATAGAAACTTCAAGAGATAGCAGTACTGAGGGGCAGCTCCAAGCAGATGCCCAATAACATTGGGTGGAAGTGGAGGAAATCACTGGACATGAGAAGAGGTCGTGACCAGAATGTCTCTTGAGTTGGCCTCTGGACTCTGAAATCTCCCAGGCTCCTATTAGGTGTTGGTAGAAAGGGTATTTGTGAGCTAGGTACAATAAATAAGGGCAGTTGTCTAGTAGGCAGAAAAACAGAGGTCAAGGGTGAAAAAGGGTGCTATTCACAGCTTTCTGGGGTCTTAGGAGAAAGGGTCTCCCTCCATTTCTCCTTCCTCCTTCTCACCTCCTCCCACAAGAGGATGGAGCTCTAACATTCTTAACGTTTTACTGTGAAATTCAGGGACCCTTCCTCCTTGCCTTAGACAGGGCAATTGTGAGAGAACAGTTTTCACTCAAGAGAGCTCCAGGAGGAAAGCAAAGTTATCCTCAACCTAGGAAAGGGAATGGAGTGTTCTTAGCAGTAGCAGAAGCAGCCTTATCCCATGCTGTGATAGCCACATCAGCAGATGACACACAGAGATGTGCTTCTGAATCTGTCTTGGGGAAAGGAGCCAGGAATGCGTACAAGGCAGAAAACCAACGGCCATAGGAATCAAGACAAAGTTCCACTGTGTCGTATTGAAATGTCTCCCTGTGACAATCTGACTGGGTCTTTGCACATCAGCACGGCTTCTGTATGTGTGTCTCTTACAGTTCATGTGTTGCAAAACAGGTGTGAAACACTCTAAGAACACAAAACAAAATTGCATTATGCTGGAGCATAGCAGGAAAGAGGTCACGGTTACCATGGTGGCTAAATGTAGCAAGGGCAGCCACAGATTGGCAGAGCACCCCACAGTCAATATCCTTAACTCTTGGGGCACTGAGTGAGGGATATGCAGTAATGTAGTGATGTTTATAGACCTTTTCCAAAATGTTTAAAAATGCATAAAATAAAAGATACAGCGTTATAAAAGAATCAATTATAATGAAACAGTTATACTTTAATGTGGTACAGTAGTGTGTGTTTTTAAATAGAGTCTGGCAGTGGTTTTAATAGTTGCTGAAACTTTGCATAGTGATGAGCACAAACTATTTCAAGATATTGGTACTCAGTGTGATATGAAAAGAGCTATGTTTCTTTTGGCAAAGTCACATTTATTGCTAGTATTACCAAAATATGACACCCACATTCATAATTTGAAGAAATGCTGCAGTCTGGTTAGAAGTTAATGAAATCGAGGCGTAATTCCCCAAAGCCATCCAGACTTCATTGTCCTGGCCTAAGTGCATCAGAATTCTTGGTCAATTGAGTAGCGACAGATCAGACTCAAGCTAAGGAAAGGATTTGGCAAGGCATAAATAACCATTATTCCATTTAAGTAGCAATTGCTGCTCTGTACAAAAAAATGTGATGATGTGGTGCAATGGGTTATAACTGTGGAAAATCATTTTGATAGAGTGGACACCAAATACACAGTGACTGCGATCAGTTCTGGAACAGGGGTGTTAGAAGATCAACATCGAAATCCTGGTTGTTCAGTGAAAGGCAAGGAGATGACAGGCTTCTTTCTCTTTATTAACAACTACCGTATTGAAGAGAATTTTTCCCACCGAAAAGAGATAGGCAATATCTCTCAGTGCTTTGGCTAGAGATGGATTCTGTTCACTTAGCATATAGTCACTGTGTTTTATGATGCACATCTTCAGTAATCTTACCCTCTGATTGTATACTATTTTGTAGTTTTTAAAAGTTCTTTTGCTTCTGTTATCGTCTCTGAATCTGAAATAATTGCTGTGTGCTGAACTGACATGTGTTTTGTCAGTAGTAATATTGACACTAAGGGCCTCACAACTGTGTCAGCAGGAAAAATAGGTATTAGTGTGAGACCCACTGGTTGCTTAAGTTTCTCAGCAGTACGCTTTCATTCAAAGATCAACATAGGTACAAAGGTGACATATTGACTAAGACACAGAATGAATTCTGTGGTGGGCTCAGTGAAGTAAATAACCTCTCCTAGAAATGAGAAATGCAGGCAGTGCATTGCAGGTTTTGAAATGGATAGGCAAGTTTCACAAGCATTCTGTGGATGGAGTCGGCTCACTCATTAGACTATGTATCCAAGACTTGCACCACCAGCGCCGAGCAGTGATGTCCCATATTTCTTTCTCTTCAGTCCCCGTATTTCCATTCCTCCTCCTTTTCCTGTGCGAATGGCTTCCACCCTCGGTCCTTCAGCTGTTAGCAGCTTCCCCTTGATCTTGAGTACTTCCCTTTGCTGTTCTTTTTACTTCTGTCTTAGCGCATCAAGGAGAATAATGTATGTTTCCCTATCCTTTCTAGTCCAAAGTTTTCTTGTTCCAATTCTGTCTTTAATGAAAAAAGGACTAGATTGGGCAACTTTGTCTTCTAGTTCTGAGAACAACAACCAAAAAATTGTAACTAGAAAAAAAACATGGACAATGTGTTTTTCTTCTGATTGATCAGTGTTATTTTTTTAATCCCAGGTGAATCCAAAACAGAATATGTTCGCACTTAGGCACATAATTGCAAAGATTGGGTGACAGTAACAAATATGGAGGATGGTTTCAAACGTGCTGACTCTGTCTTTCCTCAACAATGCAGTGTGTGATCAAAATATTAAGAGGGCATGTTCCACTATATTGATTGCTACATTTGTTAAGGGGTTGGAACACTGCAAAACAGAGGCATGGGAGTGACAGGCTAGGACACTTAGCAGTTTGTATTTTTACTTCCATGCCTAACAGGCCACCACCACTACTGTATTTATAGTATAGTAGAAAGAGTCAGATGCTTATCAAGTTCCTGCTGTATGGTAGATACTGTGCAGAACCTTCTTATAGATTGTTTTATTACTTATCACCAGACTCCGAGAGTTTTCTGCATTTTACAGGTTCAGAAACTGAGATTATAAGAGATTTGAACTGAGACATTAAAAATCACTTGTACCTTTCTGAGAGAATGATCTGGATCACAATGGGTCCTAGACAACTGGAGTATTGTATTCCTATGTAAGAAGTCAGCGAAAAGAGAAATGTGTTTGGAAAATGAGCTCTGTCTAGAAAGTTGTTTCCTTGATGGCTAACGGTTAATTATCTAGAGTTTTAGAAGAATTCATTGCTAGATAAAGGAGATGCCGTATAGTATTAAACAAGTAGGTGTGTGCGTTTGAAATCAGTGAGTTTTAATGCACCAGATCAAACTCTCCTTTTGCAGTACGGACATGGGATGTGAGGGTGGGCGGTAAGGGCTGCAGAAGTGGCTCGGTAGTCAGAGTGCTTACTGCTCTTCCAGAGGACCCAGGTTCCGTTCCTAGCACCCACAAGTTCTGCTCCAGAGGATCTGATGCCCTCCTTTGGCCTCTGTGTATTCCTGTATGCGTGTAGTGGACATAAACACACGCAGGCAAACAACTCATACACATAAGTAAAAAAAGATTAAGAACAAGGGGCTGAAGAGATGGCTCAGCAGTTAAGAGCACTGGCTGCTCGTGCAGAGGACCCGAGTTTGAGTCCCAGGACCTACATGCTGGCTAGCAACAGTCCTAACTCCAGTTCCGTGGGATCCAACGCCCTCTTCTGACCTCCAAGGGCATTTCACAACACAGGTGTTCTGATACAGATGCAGACAATACACTCATATACATAACAAAAAATTTAAAGCTTAAGAATGAATGATAAGGTTATTCCCAAAGAAACTAATGTGCAAATTGCTTTCTTCTGTGTGTCTATGTTCCTTCTTCAATTGGGGCTGTTCCTAAAGCTAAGAAGAAACTTCCCAACTTGCCTGTCTTCTTGGAAAATCCCTCCTCATGTCCTAAAATCCTCCCAGCCAGAAGCTGTACTCAGCATAGCAAACAACGCCCTGCCCTTTGCACCTCTGCAAACATTTACAGATGAGGAAACAATGTTGAAGCAAGCAGGTCAGTACACTCGTCAGGCTTCATCCTTTTCTTCTGGTCACGAGTTGAGTCCACAGTGTGAAACGACACGTGAAGATGTGTCGATCTAAGTTCATAGATGGGGGTTGTTGTAGTTGTTACTCTGTTTTGAGGTTTGAGGGAGGTTGGTTGGTTGGTTGGTTCGTTGGTTGGTTGGTTGGTTGGTTATTGAGACAGGATCTTGCTGTGTGCCCCAAGCTAATCTCAGACCCCTGGGCTCAAATGATCCTCTTGCCTCAGCCTCCCAAGTAGCTGGGATTTAGAGTCATGTGAATGGACTATTTTAATATATTTTTGAACAAAAGTAATACATATCCAAAATAAAAACAACAGCAGAGTAAAAGGCTAGGTTAAAGTTAAGACTCTCACTGGGCATGGTGACAATGCCTTTAATCCCAGCACTCAAGAGACAGGCAGGTGGATCTCTCAACATAGTGAGTCCCAGGCCAG